TCCGCTGTTACACATGATTCCAACCTTGCAATGACCTCTGATTTTCTTCCTGCCTTCACGCATGCAGCTGTGGTTCCACAGCCTTTGCACGCTTGCGGTCTTGTCGTTCAGGCGACATGCTTTGCTGTAACGTCAGCCGAGGTTTTCTTTTTTTTCTTAGGTGTTTTCGATGGCAATGGTCTCCATGTCGTGTCGTAGTCGTAGCGCTATGTTAGCTGTTGCTGTTGAGGGCCAAGTGTTCTTTGTGCAGCTGAACCCTCTCCTTTGAGGTTGAGGTTGGCGCACCCCTTGTTCTGTGTCTCAAACTTCTCTTTTCAGGTTGCTGCGCACATAAATTCAGGAGAAAGATCCGGAAGGCGGTCCCTTCCCGGCGTACCCGTCGGGCAAGACCTGGGATGAGCCGAGTGGCAAGACTGGCAGCGGCAAGAAGTTCTTCCACAACATCATCGATGGCTCCAAGGATGGGGATGTAGGGAACGGAGAATAACATGAAACCTTGATTTGAACGACGGCTGTCCATGGCAGGTTCCCACAGAGCCTTTCTACGTGGCCATCATCACCCCGGTGATCCACTACTGCATGGGAGGCGCGGCGCGCGGCCGGGCTAGCCCGTAGCCTCGTGTAAGCATGGACGCGCATGGATCGCAAAAGGCTGTTAAGCTAAAAGTGCATGACGCTGGGGCTCATTGCCTGGGACCTCTTGTGTGTTGTGCCAGGGAAGCAGGTTAGACATTGCAGATGCCTTTTGATTGGAGCTTGTTCGCCATGCTCGTTTTGCCTGAGAGGCCTGGAGTGCACCACAGAGGCGGAGTGCATCGACAAGTCTGGGAAGCCGATCCCAGGTCTTTACGTGGCTGGCGAAGCAGCTGGAGGAATCCACGGCAACAATCGCCTCGGTGGCAACTCTTTGTTGGATTGCGTGGTCTTCGGCCGCGTCGCCGGTAAGGCGGCCTGCAAGTACACTTTTGGAGCGGCAGACAAGTTCAAGCCGTGCCCCACTCCTGGTGAGATCAAAGACCTCACAAAGTGAGGCCACGATGGGCATGGCCTGTCGTGAACAGTCCTAATTTCTGAATTGTGGTTTGAGGCGTCGCCACTCGCGATGCAATTGGGTTTTGTCTCTGCGACCTCCGAGTGAACGTTTCGTCCACGTGATGTCTGCGTGGTCCCTTCGGAGCTGTGGCAAAATCAAGGAAGCGTGCACGACGAGTGGTCAGTCTTTGCAGACACTTCCTCCTGCACTTAGGTCGGGCTTCTCATCATGCGATGCGACGTCTGCGCAGACTGTGTCATCTGTGTCGTGGCAGCATGATGTCGACGCATTTTTCGGCAGCATCAGAATCAGAAGCTGGGATTTCGTCAGGTAGAGACTGCAAACAGCTCTTTCCTGCAAAGAGAGGTTTTGCTGCATTTGCTGTTTGATGCAGACCGGCTTCCCCACTCTCAAGCCGCTCCGCAGAGGAGGTTTGAATGTCTCCATGCCTGCAGAAAGTATATTCCAACAGTCGCAGCATCAACGTCAGACGACTCCAGAGAACTTTGGCCTTTGGCGGTTCCCTTCAGGTTGGTGAGAGCTAGTGGTGGCCAGGAAATGCCAGGAAGAATGCTCCTTTCATGTTCGGAGGTGCCAAAGCTGGGTCTTGGATGGAAGGGCATGGGTGGTCCGTAGGCTCTGGGCGGGTCCAGCTTAACTCCAAGACATTCAGGTGCTCCTTAAAGCTCTCAAATCCGATCTGTTCTGTCCGGACAAGTGTTCATCCCGTCCCTACCGATACCTTGTGAAATGCACTCTCTGAAGCCCGGTCGCAGAAGGAAAGCCTGGGCAGGCATGGCAGAGGCAGAGCTTCACGAGGAACAGTGGCAAACAGGTCACGCCAGCTTCCGGCCTCTGCGCCGGACGCGAGAGCAAAAGTGTGCTTTGCAGTGCTGACAAGCTGAGAGGTCCACTGGAAGGCTGCACACTTCACTCGCAGCCTTGACTCAGAGCCTTGCGCAGCTGTGTGCGTGTCAAGCTTCACGCCTCTACGCTTGGCTCAGCATCTTGGCCTGCCGTGGCTTCACAGGCCCTCCGCACTGCATGAAGTGTAGGTCTTCAGCCCCGCAGCCTCACAATAGTCAATGAACGCCTTTTTTCCCCAAACAATGATACATTTTGATCCCGGCACCTGTGTTCAGGCCCTGTATTCGCATCCGCGGTTCGCCTGCAACCCGCCCATCCCTGTGCTTGCATGGTGTTGCAGGTACAAGATAATCTGTAGTTCGGTCTTCCTGGTCAACCAGAGCTAAAGCCAGCTTCGTGGCCTTTGGCTGCGTGGGCTAGACCGGTCACATCTGTGGCTCTCATGCTAGTTCGCTGTGTTGCGGGAAGAAAGAAGACTGGTGACCGCAGTCCGCACACAGCATTGCGAAGATGTTGGCAGGTGCGCGTAGGATCTGGTGGGTGTAGCTTCTCGGCATTAATTTAAGTCTGCCTGTGCCGCTGCAACAGAAAGAGCTTTGACCCAGAAGGGTAAGAACTTCCAGCTGGGCTGGAGCTGTCGGGGGTCATGTAAGCACACAAATTGCAAGGATTTGCAAGGAGGTGCTGCTCACGACATGACCCCGTCCAGGCCCATGGAGACCCAGCTGGACCCAATGTCGGTCCTGCGGGAGCGCAGCGGGGTCTGTGATTCAGCAGGGCTTTCCCGTGTTGTTTCCTACGTTTTCGGTCGAGAACTTGGCACGTAGCTAGCGCATCCGCTTGCAGGCCACCTTCGTTGCATGGAAATTCTGGTCCAGCAACGATGCGCAACTGAAGAGCTGGAGGGGAAGCTGCAGGAGGAGAGACAGCGCAGGCCCGCGAGACTTGGGCTTATGATTCTTGAGGCTGGGCGTCGTCATCAAATGCTGGGCAGGCGGCGCGCGGAGGAATGTTGCGACCAGATGCTGGACGTGAT